ATTACACATCCCTGTCTAAGACCTACTTTTACCGGGAAGTATTTCTCCCTCTCTTCTACACACCCTAACCTGAGCCTCACTATCCTCATAAAAACTCTTTACAGCATTTAGTAACTTACCACCTATTCCATATACTTGCAACATCTGCCACATTGCTCCTCTATCCACTCTATCATATGCCTTTTCTAAATCCATAAATGCAATAAAAACTTCCCTACCTTTATCTAAATACTGTTCACATATATGCTTCAATGTAAACACTTGATCTACACATCCCCTACCCACTCTGAAACCTCCTTGCTCATCCGCAATCCTACATTCTGTCTTACCTGTAATTCTTTCAATTATAACCCTACCGTATACTTTTCCTGGTATACTCAGTAAACTTATTCCTCTATAATTTTTACAATCTCTTTTGTCCCCTTTCCCTTTATATAAAGGGACTATACATGCTCTCCGCCAATCCCTAGGTACCTTCCCCTCTTTCATACATTTATTAAACAAAAGTACCAACCACTCCAACACTATATCCCCCCCTGCTTTTAACATTTCTGTCATGATCCCATCAGTTCCAGCTGCTTTACCCCCTTTCATTCTACGTAATGCCTCACATACCTCCCCACACTTACATTCTGCTCTTCTTCACTCCTAAAAGATGGTATGCCTCCCTGGCCAGTGCATGAAATTACCACCTCCCTTTCTTCCTCAACATTTGAAAGTTCCTCAAAATATTCTCGCTTAACGTTGACAAAACCTACTACATTATGTTTGGTAGCAGAGCAGGAGATGCACAAATTAACATTAAGATCGACAACACTCTAATTGCCAGGCATAATGAGGGCAAATTCCTAGGCCTATACCTCGACAACAACCTGAACTTTAGCACCCATATCCAACACATAACCAAAAAAGTATCCAAAACGGTTGGGATCCTCTCCAAGATACGATACAGTGGACCCCCGCATAGCGAACGCCTTGCATAGCGAACATTCCGCATAGCGAACGCTTTGATCGCTAAAATTTTGCCCCGCATAGTAGACAAAAACCCGCTCAGCGAACTTCGTCCGAGACGCGTCCAATGTGGGCCCTCAGCCAGCCTCACATGTGCCGCCCGTCCCATTGTTTACCAGCTAGCCTCCGCGGTAACATTCAAGCATACACTCGGAATATTTCGTATTATTACAGTGTTTTCGGTTCTGTTTGTTGAAAATAAGTGACCATGGGCCCCAAGAAAGCTTCTAGTGCCAACCCTGTGGTAAAAAGGGTGAGAATTAGTATGGAAATTAAGAAAGATTTTGAAGGGTTTGGGGCTAACCCTGAGAAGCCTATGCCAGTTGTGGAATCCATTGTGCCTACTTCAAAAATTAAGGAAATGTGTGCACAGTGGGTTGAACTGCAAACCTTTATGGATGAAAATCACCCTGACACAGCTGTTGCAAGGCGTGCTGGTGACTATTTCAATGACAATGTTATGGCCCATTTTAGACAAATCGTAAAGGAACGGGAGGTACAGAGCTCTATGGACAGAAAGAAGTCCAGTGACTCTGAAGCTGGTCCTAGTGGCATTAAAAGAAGAAGGGAAAGTAACCCCGGAAAAGGACTTGCCTCCTCAAGTGTTAATGGAAGGGGATTCCCTTCTAAACACTAACACTCTCTCTCCCCTCCTCCCATCCCATCAATCATCACCAGATCTTCAATAAAAGTAAGTGTCATGTAATTGTGCATGCCTTTTTCAGTTTGTGTGTACTAAAATTAACATTTTTTTGTGGTAAAAAAATTTTTTTTTCATACTTTTGGGTGTCTTGCACGGATTAATTTTATTTCCATTATTTCTTATGGGGAAAATTAATTCGCATAGCGAACATTTCGCATAACGACCAGCCCTCTTGCACGGATTAAGTTCGCTATGCGGGGGTCCACTGTACTACGTGCCGCAAACTGCCCTTCTCACACTACACCATTCACTTATATATCCATACCTCACCTATGCTATCTGTGCTTGGGGTTCAACTGTAGCAACACACCTAAAGCCAATAATAACCCAACAAAAAGCTGCAGTAAGAATAATCACTAAATCCCATCCCTGGCAAAAACCCCCCCCCCCCCACTCTTCATAGATCTAAACTTACTCCCTGTTCAGTACATCCACACTTACTACTGTGCAATCTACATCTACAGGACCTTAAATTCCAATATTAACCTTGACCTAAAATGCTTTCTTGATAGTTGTGACAGAACCCACAGGCATAACACCAGACACAAACATCTCTATGACATTCCCTGTGTCTGACTAAACCTTTACAAAAATTCAATGTATGTCAAAGGCCCTAAAATCTGGAACACCTACCTGAAAATTCCAAAACTGCAGACACATTCATCACCTTCAAAACTACCATCAGAAAACATCTTATCTCCCTGATACACCCTGTCAACTAGTAAAAAAAGTTTTTCCCCTTAAAGGGTTTCCCCCCGGGGGGGAAAAAAAAAATTTTCCCTTGTTGGAAAATTGGAAAGGGGGGTTAAAATTTCCCCTTTTTGGGGAAAAAACCCCCCCCAAAAAAAAAAAATTTTTTTTTTTCCCCAAAAAATTTTTTTTAAAAAAAAAATTTTTTTTTTTTTAAAAAAACCCCTTTTTTTTTCCCAAAAAAAAGGGGAACCAAAATTAAAAAAAAAAATTTTCCCCCCTTTTAAAATTTTTAAAATTTTTTTTTTTTAAAAAAATTTTTTTTTTGGGGGTTTTACAAAATTAAAATTTAAAATTTTGGGGGGAAAAAACCCAAAACCCTTAAAAAAACCAAACCTCCCCCCTTTTCCCTTTGGGGGCCCCTTTTTTAAAAAATTTTTTTTTTTTCCCCCCAAAAAAATTTTTGGGGGGGGAAACCATTTTGGGGAAAAAAACTTTTTTAAAAAAAAAAACCCCCCCCCCCCCCCCCCCAAAAAAAAAAAAAATTTTTTTTTCCCCTTTTCAAAAACCCCCCAAAAATTTTTTTTCCTTTTTTTTAAAAAAAGGGGGAAAAAAAGGGAAAAAATAAAAAAAAAAAAACCCCGGTTTTTTTTAAAAAATTAAATTTTGGGAAAAAAAAATTTTGGAAAAAAAATTAAAAAGGGCCCTTTTCCCCCAAAAAAAACCCCCCCAAAAATTTTTAATTTTTAAAATTTTAAAAAAAAAAAAACCCCAGGGGGCCCCCTTTTCCCCAAAAAAGGGGGGGGGGGGAAAAAAAAAAAAATTTTTCCAAAAAAAAAAATTTAACCAAAAAAAAAAATTTTTTTAAAAAATTTTTTTTAAATCCCCAAAAAAGGGAAACCAAAAACCCTTTAAATTTTAAAAATTTTTTAAATTTAAAAAACCAAAATTTTTTTTTTTTAAAAATTTTTTAAAAAAACCCGGGAAAAACCCCCATGCTAGGTTTTTAATTGGTACACTCTGTAATTTTTTTCCCAAAACCCCCCAAAAAACCTTTTTTAAAAAAATTTTTTTTTTTAAAAAAAATTTAATTTAAATTTAATTTTTTAAAAAAACCCCCCCTCTCCCAAAAACCCCCCCCTTTTTTTTTTAAAAAAAATTTTTTTCCCCTTTTTTTTAAAAAAAATTTTTTTTTTTTTTTTTTTTTTCCCCTTCCCCCCCCTTTTTTTTCCCCTTTTCCCTCTCGCCCCTCTCTTCACCTTTCTTTTTTCTCTCCCTATACCTGCCTTTTTAACCCCTTCTGCTTTGTAAAAACCTTTTCATAAGCTACCTTTTTTCCCCTTTTTTCACACCCCCTTACTTTTTCATTCCCCCAATCACCCTCTTTCCCCCTGCCCCCCCCCTCCTATAAAAACCCCCCCATTTTTAAACTGCATTTTTAAAACTATTCCACCCCCCTTCAAACCCCCCCCCCCCCCAAATCATCTTTGCACAGCCCACCTTTCCTCCAAAATTTCCCTTTTATCTCCCCCCGAACTTTTCCCCCCTCCCTTAGTTTTTTAAAACTTTCAAACCCCCCCTTACTTGTTGTTGCCACCTTCCCCCTTTTCCCATTACCTTACTCTAACTGTAGCTAAACTAAATAATGATCCGATATATCATATTACTCAATATTCAGCAATTAAAAAGGTACGGGAAAGGGAATACCCGTTTTCCCGATATTTGGGGCCCCTTTAATTGAGGTTTTCTTGATGCCCAACAGCTTTTAAAAACCCGATTATCCCCACAGATCCAAAAAAAATTAAAAATTGATTATGCCCCAAACTTTCCATTTCCCCGGTAAAGGGTTTACCTTTAAATTTTCAGTGCTCTCCCTGAATTTGCAGTAATTTAAAATTGGGAAAAGTTGGTGTGGACTTACAGCTGAAATTTAAAATTAAAGCCACCCTTTGGAAAAAATTTCCCGAAAATACTCTCATGAATTTTCAGTCCTCAAGAGCTTTTCCCTTTTAAAACACTTCCTTATGAAATTAAACATTAAACAATCAGGCTATATTTTTGGGGAAATTTAGCCACTGGGCCCCGGTTTTATTTATCCCAAACTGAAAGGTTTTACCAACATTCTGAAGACTGAATTACCCGTACTGTACAATATTTTGAACCCGAGGGAGACTACTAGTCAACTGAGAAACCATCATACTCTGCATTCACAACTAACCAAAAAGTGGAGAAGAAAAATAACAATACAGTCCTTTTCTTAAAAACATTTTTCACTGCAAAATAAAAAGTTTTGTAAATTTAAATATAGAATTTTTTCACTTTTATTCCAAAAAGTCTTAAAAACAAAAATCTTTCAAATTTTAAAATTTTCCAAAGGGATTACATACATACTGTCAAATCTTCCTAAAAGAAATTTCAAAACGAGAAAAATTTACTTTAAACTGTCCTTCTCATGTCAAAAAAAGCAGAAATTACAAAAAAAATTCGGGTTTACTTATACGTAAACATTTCCATTTCAAAAAAATTAATAAAATTTTCACTGTATAAACATTCAACCACAATACCCACTAAAATAATAAATCAACCTTTTTCTTACCCCTTTAGATCAAAGGCTCTGGCAATCAAGTTTCTTAATACCTCATAGCCAGTAAGTTCAGGATCCACACTAAAGCGGCAACACTGGGAATCAACTTCACAGTGGCTGGCTGCAATTTAAAACCAAAAAATAAATTATCCTAAAGAAATAACAAGTTTTAAGATTATTCTCCAGGCAGCATTTGTGAAATAAAGCAATTCTACAAAACTACAGAGACCCCCCTTTACGAAAAGCCCCAATGCACCAATTATGTAAGTGTATTTATGTAAGTGCGTTTGTACGTGTATGTTTGGGGGTCGAAATGGACTAATCAAATCAAAATTTTTATTTAGGAAAACAAATTCGTTAGTAATGGCCCCCCGAACATACTTCGGGAATGAATAAATCGAAACCCGGGGGTCCACTGTACTATTACAGTACTATAATAAAAAAAAAAAAAAAAAAAGCTTCCTTTAAATACCCTTTTTAATCCATTTCCCACAGTGTATAGTACTTTACCAACACTCCCCCAAGCTTTTTTTCCCAAAAACGCATTAAGGTCCAAGAAACCCCCCAAAACGCACTCATAACCAGTTTTAAAAAAGTACGACACCCATTCCAATTCTAAATCCCTTAATTAGTTTTTTTAGACTTGACCAAAACAGTACAACTTAGGATTCCAAACCATCCCTTGCGTTATTTTTTACCCCCCCAAAAGAAAATTTTCCGAAACAAAAATTGTGCAAAGTTTTATTACCCTTTGAGGGTTTGGTCGTACTAGACGCTTAGCGTGGGGGTTTTTGACGTACTAACGCATAAATTCTAGGGGCCTCAAATCTCGCGCAAAAAGGCTGTAGGCCAGGTGTGAAGAAGGATCTGCGGGGTCGGGTGCGCGGTAAAAAAAAAATCTGGGACCAGGTGTTTGTGGGAATCCCCCTTTTAAAACAATTCCACCATGCCTCGCGTAAGAAGCCCTCACTCCTCGGTGAAGGGGACACTTTTTTCCCCAGGACAGTTCTAATATGAGGAATGCCAGTGAAGATGATTTTCGTTTTTTAGTGAGGTTTTGACCGAAACAAGACCAAATTCGGTAATAGGAGGAAAACCCAGACGACCCTCAGCCTTCCACCTCGGGCGGGGCCCCTTGTTCACTTTCATTTTTCCAAAACCCAAAGGAAACTTCTATTTTCCCAAACCCAACTCAGATGAAGCAGGGGATGATAGTAAATAGTGAATATGAACTACAACCCTTTTAAACTATTCCAGTAGTGATAGTGAAGTGAATATTCCCCAGGGGAAGCGTCAGTATATACGACGATAAAATCCTCGGGTATGTGCCATATGTTATACCAAGGGGAAGGATGTATCTCGGAGTACATCCCGGGCTGTACAACAGAACAAAACATGAAAATGACGAAGATACTGTTGAAATTTTGGGAGGAAAATGTCATGGTGGTATGGTGCCAGCATGAGGCACCAGCAGGGGGCCATGCTGCCACCCCCCTGCCCCCACGCCGCTGCCTCAGCTATCTAGAAAAAAGCCCCATCCCCCACTCACCCCCACACCACCTCCACAACCACAACCCTAAAAACCAAAACCTCCACAACCCAACCACCGTCATTGCCAGTACCCACCAGCAGACCGCCCCGGGGTTTTGCAGAAGCTGTAAATTTTGTTCCAAATCCCCACCAGTTTGATGACAGCCAAAGTGGAATACGGCCATCTTGTGCACTTGGGAAACAATGCCACAACTGGAAATTTTTTATTTTTTTTTACGAACCACTGTGAAAAGATTTTCATGGAAAGCAAAACATACTACGAGTACACCACGGGAAACACATTACTTTCGCCAAATCACTCTACCCAATGGAAAGGGGCAACTTTGGGTGAGATGCATCTTTTTTTTCCACAAAATGCTTTTGCCACTGGTATAAGCACAAAGTGAAATCATACTGGTCAAAAAACCCCCTGATTGCAACAAACCCGGTTTCAGTGAATAAGCCCGTGAATCGTTTTTGGGTAAAGTTATACTTCACTTCTCAGATAAAACCAGGGCCGACAGAAATGACAGGTTAATAAGATTTTGGTTGTTTTGTTATCTGAAACAGAAATTCAGTACCATTTTTTCCCCTTTCAGGAAGCTTGTAATTGACGAGTCTTTGATTCGTTAAAAAAAGACTCTCTTTCAAGCAGACATACCAAGAAAAACGCTTTTTATAAAGTTGTTTTTTCTTTGTGATTTTACAGTGGTCTGGTATTGGATATTTGTGTACCGGGAATTAACAAAGCAAAATACCAGAAGTTATTGGGGATCTCAGGTATGTGGTCAACAATGAAGAACCATACCTTTGGGAAGGGCATAAATTAAAAATACAGAAACGGACACAAAAAGCCCCTCACTCAGTGAATTTTTGCGAGTGAACATGACAATGTTGTGGCCAGTCGTGCAAATCGAAAACAAAAGCCCCGTTTGACGGGCACTCGTAAGGGAGGGTGCAGGCGTTTGCGCCAATAATCAGGCATTTCGGGGGGCATGCAAACGAGATGTCACACTGTTGTCACAATTCACCCAATGAAAAGGCAGACAGTGGCAGCAGCATAGAGAGAGAAATGAACCCATTTTAAAAACCGCACTTATTTAACACCCTTTAACATCGTTCATGGACAAATGTGACATGCAGATTGGGTTTGCGATTGGTTCGCAAGAGTTAAAGTGGTACATCAAACTGTTTTTTTCCCTCTTCTGGACATTTCCCGCCAAAGCTTATAAATTATAAGAGAACACCAGAAACAAACCCCAGTACGGGGAATTTTTTGTCTGTCATCAACAAATAGATTCAAGAAACCCAAAGGGAAAAGCACCCGCAATTGACCGCCCACCAAATTTCAACAACACCTGCTCGTCTGAAGCAGTGGGTCCTCCGGAAAACTCCCGCTACTGCCCTTTGAAGAAAAAGCTCGAAAGGGGTTACGTTGGGCACAACAAAAAAAAAGCACACAAAAACGCAAGACAACCCCTTTATGTGTGAGGAGTGCAAAACTCCACTGTGCATGACAATGTTTCAAAAAGTTCCCCAGGGTGCAGAACTTCAGAAACTTCCCCTTTACTGTATAGTGTAATAAAATAAGAAAATAAATAAACAACATTTCAATCGTTTGTTTGTGTAAATATTTTCGTAAACAAAATAAGACAACGTGTTTACGCCCTTATTGGTATATTGAAAAAGAAAAACTTTCAAAATACGATCAGTTGGCCTCAGAGGCCATAAAATTTCCAAAAAAGAAAAAATTTAAAAATAATTGAAAATAGTACATAAAAAAGTAAAAAAAAAATACCCCGGGGCGGCAGTCGGGATGTTCCATATGTTTGTTCAATTTTGCAAATTTCAAGCCTCCATTCTCGGTAATATTGACTTTAAAAAATTTTTTTGTTAGCCATAATGTTTAGAAAAAAAAACTATTTTTTTATAAGAAAAAATATTTTTTTTTTTTTTTTTTGAAATTTGGCCGACCCTGAACGAGTTTCGGGGAAGGGGCCTTCGACCCCCCAAAGGGTTTAAAGATGATTTAAACACCACCTTTAATTGATAATTAAAGAATCTTTTCTAACACACTGCAGATCATGGGAAAGACCTTTTTGCCTTAAAACTTTACAAGATAAAAAGGGAAAAAATGGAAAGCACAAGATATAGGGGAAAAAGTGCCCTTTACAAATGTCCCTTGTTTACCTACCCAAGCAAATAGGCACCCCCGGCCAAGTTAATTTTTGTTTTTGGGGCTTTCAAAAAACAAAAAAAAAATTTATTTACAGTGGTCTTTAGAGCACCCCACATTATGGGAAAAATTAAAAGCACTTTATGTACTTTTTTAACAGGGGAAAATTTAAATAAAGGCAAACGGGGGAAAAGGGGCCCCAAAATGGAAAAAATTTTATAACCCTTTGGTTTTGTTAGTTTAAAATTCATGAGAAATTAACGAGTTAAATTTCCCCTTTAAGGGGTATTTTTTTTATTTTTTTATATCAGTAATCGAGCATTTTCAATGCCTCCCCAGCAAAAATACGAACACTTATGCCCCAAGAAAGAGATTACCCCTTTAAAAATTTCCCCAAATCCTTGCAAACTTTCCCCAAGAAAAATACAACTTACGTTACTTTAAATAAATCTTACTAAACAGAAAGGGCCAATATACCACCACTAATACAGTAAACAGCCTCCCTCTTTCTCACTCAGCAAAGGACTTTCCTAATCCCCGGGGAAATTAAACCGGTATGTTTGTAAAAAATTTTTTTTATCCCAACCCAAAATCAAATGAGACCTACAAAGGGGTTTGGGGTAAAAAGCTAAAAATACACACCTAAATTTAAAAAAAAATAAAAAATATGCAAGAAAAGACAAGGCCCTTCTGCCCAGCCCTTCGTCAGGCAGGAAATTTTCTCTCTCATTTGGGTATCAGTGGAAAATTTTCCCCCCGTTCTTTTCGGGGACCCTTGTCCTCATCTATTTCCCCTGCAGGTACATTAAAAGGGGGGGCACCTGCTGGGCAAAAATTTCAGCCAGTTGTGGGGGGAAATAGTTTTTTTAAAATATTTGTGGTGAGAAGAAAGGTTTTACTGAACCAGGCAAGTGTGGTTCTTGCTCTGCGGGGCCCGGGCAAGGGGGTCCACCGTTTCAAATCGGGGAACTTCTATTTCCCCATTTCCCCTTACAAAGGGATTTCCTTTTTCCCTTTTTCCTTTCTTTGCCCAGCTTTGGGCAATTATTTTCCCCAAAACCTCGGGAAGCCGGGCTCGATACAGTGTGAGCGTCATTCCCCCCTGAAAAACCTAACAAAAAATGGAAAAAAAAAAGAGGGGGGGAAAATTCTTAAGTAACATTGTACCCCCAAGGCAAATTTTAAAAAATTTAATCCCAAACGGGAAACATGCCATGAGGCTCCGCCCTAACTTTAAAAGTCCCACAATACAAATGTTTTTAGTGGTACTTTTAAATTTTAAATTACCTGGAGTTGCAAGATCAATCAATAAGGGTCCGAAAATACACACCAACTTTTTTTTAAAAGTTTAAAAATTTTCTTAACATACAAAAAATCCACCTAGTGGATGGAAAATAAAAACATTCAAGACATGAGATTTCTAATTTTCCCTTGATGAACCTTTTAAAATTTTTTGTTCCTCTAGGCTGGAAAAACTGCTGTACATTAAAAACCCCATTCAAGGCAGGGGAAATTGCAGGTCCGGAAATGTGCCAAGAAAACCCTTTTCTGCCACACAAGTTCCATCAAACACCTTAAAAATACTGGGAATGCCTGGGAACACTTTACTTGTAACCATGGAGCACAGGAAAAAAGAGATTAAAATTAAAACCACCCGTGGAAGATTCTGGGGGGAAAGGGGGCCCCCAATCTGCAAAAACAGAAATCACTCCCAAAAGAGGCAAAAGAATTGGCATGATGCAACAAAAACCCCCAGTGAAAAGTAGGGGCCCCCTGGTACACAAAAAAAAACACTTAGTGTCTGGGGGCCCCAAAACTGTTTTAAAAAGCCTCCCCCCAATAGACCCCTGGTTTTTTTCAAGAGGAAAAATGGACAGATTTCCCCCAAGTCATTTTCCCGGGTCAACCAGGCTGTGGGTTTTATACGTTGGACTTTCGTGCAGCCCCGCAGTAAACCCCCCTCGTTTAACAGGGTTTTGATCCACCAGGGGGCCTGGTCGCGGGCCCCGGTCCAGGGGGGTTGATCCCCGGAATACCCTCCAGATAAAAAACTTTTTGGGAAATTTGCATAGTACTTATTACTGGATAAAACAATACAAATATAATCCAGCCATGAAGCTCTCCTTAGGGAGATGTAATAAAACCCATAGACATAATACAAGACAAATACCTCTTTGATGTCTCATGTGTTTGACAACCTGAGTAGAAACTCAAAGAATATTAAAAGCCTCAAAATCTGAAACTCTCTATTAGAAGATTCTAGAAGTTTCCTATTTGCCAACAGCTGCAAAAGTATTGTTAAAAAGCACTCCCTGAATTGACATGAGTTACAATAATTGAATATATATATCAAGCATATTTTTTTGTAACTTGCTTATAACATTCCCATGCAGCATTCACACTTATACACCTCCTGTCTCTACTCTATATACCCAAAAATTTTCTATTACTCTCCCATCATTTTGACACTGCTGTTTTAATAATTAGATTTTTGTTACTAAGAATGATCATTGTACGTAATTATCTTCATGCAACTTAATTATGTTACAATGTGAAATTATGTAATCTAACCTTAACTATTTTACCAAATAATTTGAAGGCTTGCATATTATTATTATTATTATAATCAAGGGGGAAGCGCTAAACCCGAAGGATTATACAGCGCCTGGGGGGGGATGTGGAAGGCATTCAGGCTTAATTCGGGGAACTGGAGAATGCACAGATCCGATTCCCTAAATCAAGAGCCCCTCACCAACATCAAGGAGCCTTCCTTGAGGGGCAAGGCTTGCATAATCATAATCTAATGCATAACTTGAGGTTTTATATATAATGCACCATACATTACAAAACTGCATTATGTCTTAAAATACACTTGTCTGTTCCACATATAGTTTTCGTAGCTGCATTATATACCTCGTCTCATAAGGAAGTGCATCAGCTACTCTGGAATTATAGCACAAGAAGCTAATATCAAAAGGCTGTACAAAGACTAGTGATAAAGTGGACAAATGGATCTCACCAGCTAATTGAAAATCTGCTTTCATAAAGTGAAAGTATATTTAATGTAAAAATAAGCCACTGAGAAAATAATTCATTTCTCAATTTTTTTTTTTTAAATTTCTGCTTTACTGGCAAAAGATTTAATCAGTTTACATATTACTTTCATCAAGATCAATTATACAAATATACTGTATTAATATGTTTTGGGGAAACTAAAAAACAAATTTCTAGATAAATTCACCTACTTAACGTATGTATTTGAAAAAATATATATATATCTGATACTATTTCAATATAAACACACACACATGTATAGTGTAGATATTAAAAACCTGCCAAGGTCACATTACAAAAGTAAGAACGATGCTATAATAATGTACACCAAAAATAGCGAATCAGTGTCCAAACAATTTCCACCATTATTTAAGACTGACACCTCCTCCACTCCCTTCCCCTCCTCACCTGGATTACTTTGATCCTCACTGCATCCCTAGATGAGGTCGCTGTGGTTATACCAGATGCCATTTCTGATCTCAATCGATTATTTTGTGTAGCGGCTGCAGTGGCCCATCACAGCTGACACTCTCCATCTGACACTCCACGCCCAAACATTAAGTTAACTTAAACACACAATATTTATAACTCATAATTTATTATTTAACATAATTACAAGTACATACATATACATATTGTCATAATAAAAGTACCATATATATTTTAAATTAAATACGTTGTTAAATTAGTAAATATAATCAAATGATCAATCGCTAATGTGTTTGACGCCACATCTAAACCAAGAGGTCGCAGACTATATTTTTGTAATATTTCGTGTATTATTTCTGTCAGTGGCAAACATATTTTGCCTTTAAATTCGCCCAAGATAGAAGATTTTTAATGTTAATTTGATTTTTTTAATTCAACAGATGGAATAATAAGCTCTTGGTTTTCTCTAGTTTCCTGCAACGTTCATTTCTTGCTTTAGCATTTCTTATTGTATTTTTATAGGAATATTTTTGGTTTGACCCGAGATATAAATATATTTTGCTGCAAATGTTTTACATACTAGTTAAGTTGTGTTATAGATGGAACTCAGGTAATAAACTCTCAACAATTTTTTTAAGCATGGATAACTGAATGACTTTTACTTATTGTGAAACCTGGACAATAAATAACTATCATAATGGTATTTAATAACGACAAGTTGATAAGACACAACAGTTAGGTATCTTTATTCCCAAACGTTCCGCCTACAGAGTAGGCTTCTTCAGTCGAGCAGTGATCACCTCTTCTTTACATCTTTACTGCTTCTGCTGACTTCCCTGTACTCGACTGAAGAAACCTACTCTGTAGGTGAAACGTTTCAGAATAAACATACCTAACTGTTGCACATGTGTCTTACTTATCAAAGCAGAACATATATATACTGCAGCAGTGCACTTGTTGGCTGCTTCATATACACTGGTTATCTTGTATTACCAGCGGTACTTATTATATTATTAGACTATGTAAAGCGGTAGTGTTGGTGGTCATTGATCTCAGTGTTGTGGAGCCTCGATCCTCCACAGTGACTTCATACCTTACTGCTCTCACGTTCCCTTCAGAGAAGGTGCCTTGATGCCGGTGATTAAATTTAGATTTTGTCATTGAAGTGGCTAGTTTATTGTGCACCCCATATCTATCCTGTGAACGGGAGGGCAAGAGCGTATGGATGCCGGTGAGGGGCTCTTGATCCCAGGAATTTCACAAATCTTCCCTTTCTTTGGATCGAACCTAATTGTCTTCCATTATCTCAGGTGTAGTACGATCCCCCCGGGTTTATCACTCCTCGTATGAATATAATAATGGTCTTATAGTATTCTCGCTAAGAGGGTCGTAAAGTGGGTTTATATCTTATCAAAATCTTCCTTTTAAGATACATTTTACCATCTTGTGACAAATTAGATCACTATATGTTTCACTTGAGCATCGGCATGATGCTCTCGTTATCTGTTTAAAATGTTTAAGCCTGTTCATGGGCCGGGCCGCGGGGGCGCTGACCCCCGGAACACCCTCCAAGTATACTCCAGGTATTGTACAAAGTAACGACAGTATATGTCATGAGATATTATGTTGAGGTGAATCGGTTATAAAATAAGTGAACATTAGTGATTACAAGTGACAGTGACACACCAAGGTGACCATTAGGTCAGTGATAGTGTATCACCTGGTCATGGGCTCACAACATTGACAGTGACACACTCAGGTGACCAGTTACTCTATTCTTAAAGGAAACAAGCTTGCCCGATTAAATTAAATGGACCTTCCCTGTCTTTTCCTGTGTAAACCTCATCAGACACCGAAGCTCGCACTATACACGAGTCAGTACTCGTCTTTCTCTGCACAAATTTACGTAAAAGGAAAAACAGGAGATAATGTAAAGTATATCAATGATGGTATAAACCTTGGTAATAAATACCGACAAGTTGGTTTAGAAAGACACGTAAGCAAACACTATAACATATTTATTAGAAAACGTTTCGGTCCTGGGACCTTGATCACTTCTAACATACAGAGGTAGAAAGACATTATATATATAGGCGGAGAGTGAGATGTGACGCACGTGACCTGAGGAATGTCATAAGAACATAAGAATGGAGGAACACTGTAGAAGGCCTACTGGCCCATGCGAGGCAGGTCCTTATCAAAACAACCTCTACCTATGATGAGGACGGGTAGTCGATGAAATCATGTGACTCCTGTGTTGTTGGGTTGGTGCTGCTTAAGTATCATGTATGCCAATGTTTTTGAAATTTTGTAGTTTCCAGTGTTGCGTTCTATAGTGTCGGTGACGGCGATTAGTGAGGCTTCTAGGCACCGTCGGCGTCTGAGGTCTGGTTCGGTGAGAACGAGTTGTGCCTCGTTCCAGTTCATCAAATGCCCCGTGGAGTCTCTGTGGAGGACACAGGCGTACCTTACATCGTCTCTGTTAGAGGCATTTCGATGCTCATTCAGGCGGACTGCAAGATCTCTGCCTGTCTCGCCTACATATTTCTTGGGACAGAACCCACAAGGGATAGTGTAGACGCCTGCTGTAGAAGTTAGAGGTGTGGGGCTGCGTTTCGTAGTGAGGTCTTTGATAGATGATGTGTTTATGGTGGAAACGTTGATGTTACTCATAGCAAGTGCCCGGCGAGTATTCGTGGCAACATCGCCACATGGGAGTACTATGAACTGTTTAGGGGACTGTTCCATGGGCGGTTTGTTGAGGATAGTTAGGTAAGACACATATGCAACAGTTAGGTATCTTTATTTCGAAACGTTTCGCCTACACAGTAGGCTTCTTCAGTCGAGTACAGAAAAGTTGATAGAAGCAGAAGATACTTGAAGACGATGTAATCAGTCCATCACCCTTAAAGTTTTGAGGTGGTCAGTCCCTCAGTCTGGAGAAGAGCATTGTTCCGTTGTCTGAAACAGACAACGGAACAATGCTCTTCTCCAGACTGAGGGACTGACCACCTCAAAACTTTAAGGGTGATGGACTGATTACATCGTCTTCAAGTATCTTCTGCTTCTATCAACTTTTCTGTACTCGACTGAAGAAGCCTACTGTGTAGGCGAAACGTTTCGAAATAAAGATACCTAACTGTTGCATATGTGTCTTACCTAACAATCTGTCGGTATTTTATACCATTTTAATGTTCATTGTTGAGGATAGCTTGTGCCTTGAGTCTGCAATCTCGGATGAAGAAAGATGGGAACTGAAGACGGACGTGCATTCTTCTTCTAGAAAGCAAGGGCTGGAGATGCGAAGAGCTCTCAAGAAGAAGCCAATGAGGACTCCTCTCTTAGTGCGGGTGTCTTGGTGTGAATAGAAGTGTACAAGATCGTCCTTGTTGGTAGGTTTTCTATACACTTTGAAGAGAAGTTTGTCACTGTATGTTAGAAGTGATCAAGGTCCCAGGACCGAAACGTTTTCTAATAAATATGTTATAGTGTTTGCTTACGTGTCTTTCTAAACCATATCAATGATATACAGTACCGACAAGATGATGAATTAGACACATTTGCAACATCTGGGTATCTTTAAAGATACCCAGATGTTGGTAGGTAAGACACAAAGGCAACAGTTAGGCAACTTTATTCCGAAACGTTTCGCCTACACAGTAGGCTTCTTCAGTCGAATACAGAAAGTAGGCAGGAACAGTAGAGATGTGAAGACGATGTAATCAGTCCATCACCCTTGAAGTCGTAGAATTTGAGGTTGTCAGTCCCTCAGCCTGGAGAGTTCAGTTCCATAGTCAGGAACTATCTGAAGATCAAGCGACAGTGCGGAGACTTAAATACTGTCGGAAGGAGAGGTGCATAGTAGTAGTAGTAGTAGTGAGAATGTAGCCACTGATAGGTCAGGTCCCTCTCAGATTCAACAGTTCTCACTTGAAAGGGTTGTCCAAGGTGTTTTCTGTACCAAGAGGCCATGTGTTGCAGTGTCTGACAAGATGAACATCAAAATGGTATAAAATACCGACAGGTTGGTAGGTAAGACACAAAGGCAACAGTTAGGCAACTTTATTCCGAAACGTTTCGCCTACACAGTAGGCTTCTTCAGTCGAATACAGAAAGTAGGCAGGAACAGTAGAGATGTGAAGACGATGTAATCAGTCCATCACCCTTGAAGTCGTAGAATTTGAGGTTGTCAGTCCCTCAGCCTGGAGAGTTCAGTTCCATAGTCAGGAACTATCTGAAGATCAAGCGACAGTGCGGAGACTTAAATACTGTCGGAAGGAAAGGTGCATAGTAGTAGTAGTAGTAGTGAGAATGTAGCCACTGATAGGTCAGGTCCCTCTCACTGAAGAAGCCTACTGTGTAGGCGAAACGTTTCGGAATAAAGTTGCCTAACTGTTGCCTTTGTGTCTTACCTACCAACCTGTCGGTATTTTATACCATTTTGATGTTCATACCCAGATGTTGCACATGTGTCTAATTTAACAATACAGAGGTGCGACCATGGTGCCAGGTGGAAGCCTCTTTCCTGAACAGCTGGCAGTAAATGATGACCACACCACCGTAAAAGAATTAAGGAGTGTCACCAACAATTACTCAATTACTGGGAGCGCTTGAGGTTCCTAAACCTGTATTCCCTGGAACGCAGGCGGGAGAGATACATGATTATATACACCTGGAAAATCCTAGAGGGACTAGTACCGAACTTGCACACGAAAATCACTCACTACGAAAGCAAAAGACTTGGCAGACGATGCACCATCCCCCCAATGAAAAGCAGGGGTGTCACTAGCACGTTAAGAGACCATACAATAAGTGTCAGGGGCCCGAGACTGTTCAACTGCCTCCCAGCATACATAAGGGGGATTACCAACAGACCCCTGGCAGTCTTCAAGCTGGCACTGGACAAGCACCTAAAGTCGGTTCCTGACCAGCCGGGCTGTGGCTCGTACGTTGGTTTGCGTGCAGCCAGCAGCAACAGCCTGGTTGATCAGGCTCTGATCCACCAGGAGGCCTGGTCACAGACCGGGCCGCGGGGGCGTTGA